AACTCCCAGAATTGCTGGCTGGGGAATTCTGGGAGTTGAAGTCCCCTCCTCTTAAAGTTGCCAAGGTTGAGAAACAGAGTTAAATTCACCTTGAGAAAGCCGCAGCCCCCAAATGATGGGGAAAGAAACAGAAACAGAGCCGAACAAATCATGAAATAATAATAATAATATCACCAAACAAAACTCAGAAGGATTTTTTTTTAAAAAAAGAACAACCCACCCCCCATTCCAGCCCAGCCTGGTTCACAAACACGAGACAAACCCAGTGGCTTTTTACAAAAAACAAGTTGCCAGTTTTTATTGTCTCTTTTAAAAACCACTTAAAAATGATAATCTCTTGTGGAGTCGATGGGGCATTAAAAATAGAAGGGCTATTTTACTTCTCCCTCCCTGGCCCGGTTGGTTTCTTCTCAATGGATTTGAGGGGTTTTTTTGGGGGGGGGCAGCAAGATGTGTCGGGAAGGCGGTCAGGGGTCTTGATTGGCATCTGCAAGGCTGGTTTGGGGGGGCCGTTAGGGGGGGAGGGCACTTGGGGGCAACTCGGCTGGTCGTCTGCGGATCAAAGAAAGTGCCACGGCTGCGCGGCGGAAGGGAACGCCGGACGCAAGAATGAAACCAACCGGATCTTCGCCCCTTTATTTGGAAGCAAACATGACAACTCTTGGAAACAGAAGATCTGGGGATGGCAGGAAACGCCTGGCCTGGCTGGGGAGACACCCCCCCCCAACAAGGCCACCCCTGGGTTTTCCTTGGGAGAAGCACCAGTTGGGGAGCACAGCAGTTCACACGGTTTATTTACATTTCCAAAACGGAAGAGAGGCAGGCTCCATACGTCGTTCTGGCCTCCCTTCGCCGGCGCTGCTCCCGTACGAAAGCCAGCCGGGCAGGCACGGCGAGGGTGTGACGCCCACGGGCAGAGCGCAGCTTCCGTGGCAGGGAGCGAGCCCGCCTGGAGGAACCGCCTCCCGTCGGGCATCCCTCTGGAGCCCCGTCCTCACCAGCGGTTTGCGTCCGCATGGCCGGACCAGAGCCGATCCGGATCTCGGCAGCTGCGTGCCCCGAGGCGGAGCAAGGGAGTGGGGGGCGCAGCGGTGGGCCGTGCCGCGGGGACCCCCCGGCCCCCTCAGTCGCTGTCTGAGCCAACGGCCGAGGAACCTTTCCGCTTCCGCTTGGTCGGTTTCGGTTTGGTGTCTTCCTCCTCCTGCAGAGCAGAGCAAAAGGCGATGTGGGCTGGGTTGAAGGGCCTGTGTGCGGGCACCGCTTGGCACCCTCCTCCCCAAAATACAAGAACAAAAGAGCGAATTCAGGGAGCTTCAGGGAGGCCAGAGACAGATCCGACAGCCTTCCCCAACCGGCTGTGGAGGGCGGGCGCTTATCTCCAAGACCCTGGGGGACCCCCGTCCTGCAGCCTGTCTTCCCCAACTCGCTTCTCTTCCGAGGGGCTTCACAGCCTGGGTGACAAAGCTCTACCCGTTTTCTTCAGGCAGGGCAGCGGTTCCCCTCCCATCCTGGCCCCTTGGCGGGGTGTGGATTCCTGAAGGCCCCCCGCCGTTCTCGACTCACCGATGCGCTGCTGGAGGCCGACTCCTCCTCGTTGCTGGCCGGCTGCTGGGCCGCGTTCTTGCGGCTGCGGGGGCTCGAGACGGCGGCCTTCCGGCGGCTCTTGGGGAGCTTGCTGGAAGAGTCCTCGTACTCCTCGGCCAGGGAGAAGAGGTCGCTGAACCTGGGCGGGGAAAGGGGCGCTGTCGGGGTCAGGCCTTCCCGGATCGCAGGCCGCTCCCCTCCCGGCACGCGCAAAGGCCGGCTTACTCACTTCATCTTATGGGCTTCGTCGCAGCTGCACTGGACGTGCTGTAAGGACTGGAGGATCGGGGGCTGGCTGAAAACTAGAAGGAAAGCAAGGGTCATGGGAAGCGGGGCAGCTGGGGGGTTCCTGTCATTAACCCCCTGGGGGAGGAAAAGGATGGAATTGCAGAAATCCCCTCTGGAACAGCATCTTCCCCCTCCCCTCCAAGATCTGTATGGCTCCCACCCTAGGGACGTCCAGAAAGTCACTGGAAACCTGGCTATTCTCCGAGGCCTTGGGGTGGGGTCGTTCTCAAGCCCCCGTAGCTAAGTATGGTTAAAGTGACTACGTATGGTCTCCTCGTCTGTGTCGCACGTGCATCGTTTTTAGACTCCCGTTTCCCGCTTTGCAAGTTGTAAGCTGCCCAGAGCCGTCTGGAGCTGGGCGGCCTCTGAATTCTAGAAATAAATACGCTCCGGGGCATCTTAGTCCCTGCTTTAAAAGGAAAACACTCTAGTCCTCATGAAGCACCGAAAGGGGCTGTGGAAGCGGAGGAACTTTGGGTTTGGTGGTGGGGTTTTTTGGGGGGAGGGGGCTTCTCACTGGCGCCTTGGCCCACCACTCGCTGGTAGAAACCTGGAGGCTAAATTTAGTATTATCTAGAGAGAGGGAGGGGACGCAACGGCAAAGGATCCAGGTTTAATCCGGGCCGCTCTCTGCCCCCAAAGGAAAGGGTCCCCAGAGAACTGGCTGCTGTGTGAAGTGGTGGGTTCTCCTCCACTGGAGGCCTTCAGAGACCGGGGTCAGAGGTCAGAGATGTTCTAGCTGACCCTGTGCTGAGCGGGGTTGGACTGGATGACCTCTAAAGCTCCTCCCAACTCTACGATTCTAGGACCTTTCCTGAGAGGGCTGCGATCCGTCCCAGTAAACCATGCCCCCAGGGGTTGCTAAACTACAACTCCCAGCACCCCTCTCTCCATCAACTGTTCTCGCCAGGGCTGCTGGGAACTGAAGTCTACTCCCTAGCGGATCTTGTCTCTGAGGCCAGACAACCTTCTGGTTTCTGCAGGGGGGGCACGTTAAAACCGAGGCGCGGGCAGGGGGCTCGACCTACAGCTCTGCTTGGTGTTGGTCAGATTGAGGCGCAAGTTGTCGAGATGTTCCAAGATCTGCTCCAAGGTCAGCTGGGCAAGTTTGCTGCTGGAGCTGCGCAGGCTGAAAGCAGAGGAAGAGACGTTTTAAGACGAGGGCGCGCTCCGCCGCCTTTTCGAGCTCTACAAAGGACAAGGGTTTTACCGCTGCTGCTTCCTTGCTTCTCCCCACGCTTCTTGATCTTCTTTCTTTTAAATATATATATAATTTTTGTGAAAGGAAGTGTTAAAAGAATAAAAACGATACAAGTTTTGAAAAAGAGAAGTAAGGAAAGCAAAGGAATAAGTGAAAAAAAATACAGAGGAGAGGAGAGGAGAGGAGAGGAGAGGAGAGGAGAGGAGAGGGGAGGGGAGGGGAGGG